AGAGTTCTAGGTCGTTTGTCATGGTATTGCCAAACTCGTCAAGACTTGTTGATTTTGGTCAGCATGCTTGGAACTGGTCAGGCACAACCGTTTGAGACCCATTAAAAATGTTTGCGTGCTGTACTCAGGTACCTTATGACTGACATGGACGTCGCATTGCGTTTTCCATCAGAAGAGCTTGTTTTGCCCGATGTGAAAGGTTTGGAAGTGTACACAGATGCTGGGTTTGCTCCCATGAAAAGTACTGGACGTCGTTCTGTTTCAGGTACTTGTCTCATCTTTCAACAGTGTTTGATGAAGTGTTTTAGCAGGCACCAGTCAGCTGTGACGCTCTCCTCCTGTGAGGCTGAGCTTGTTGCATTACAGTCAGGTGTTCAGGAAGGAATCGGCTTGCTCAGGACTTTGGGTTTTGTGCTTGGTCGTTTGTATCCATGGGTTGACATTATCCCTCAGGACGCTCAAGTGACTTGGTATGACGAAGCAGAGTCTGATGACGAAGACTCTATGAAAGTTTCATACTTGTTTCCACTGGTCGTCAAGACCGATAGTTTGTCAGGGAAAATGCTTCTCGAAGCATCTGATTTGCAACGAAAGAGCCGACACATTGAGATTAAAGTTTATTGGCTCCGAGAGTTGATGGATCGCAAAGTTTTGCTTTTGTCGCATGTTCCAGGAACTTTGAACCCAGCGGATTGTTTTACCAAGTGCTGGCCAACTCAGAAGTTTTTATTTTACAGGAACATGCTTGGATTTGTGAAAATTGATTTCAGTTTGATTTCGAACATCCTTGGTTTTTGCTTGAAAGTTTGTGACAACAGTTATTCGAAACCAATTTCATGTTTGTCAAACAGGAACTGCGTTCTGTGCGGAGAACGTTTGCTTTTGTTTGCTTTGGAAGAAGAACTGGAAGTTTCAGGAGATCAGAGATCATTTCGTCACGTGAAAACTGCGTTTGCTCAAGAAAACTTGACACACCCGGACAGTTTGCCTCTTGTTGTCGCGCTGATGGCAGAGGAAGACGCACGGTCTAGTGTCTGTGGGTTCACTCGTGTGGACTGGACGACAGGAGAGCCGAGAGAAGACCCGACTGGGGGCGTTATGCGCCGAGATGCAGTGGTCGAGGAAGTGGTTGAGGCTTCATTAGGTGAGCCAATGGCGACTGCTTCAGGTACACCAGATACCAAAGGAGCAGTTTCAGGTGGACCAGCCACAGGTGAAGCAACTTCAGGAGAGAAGCCGCCAGGTGGACCGTCTTCTGGATCTCATTCCATTGCATTCAAACACGTGGGTAAGCACACATTTCGCACGGTGTTTTGAAAGTGTTGGCATCTATTTTTTGTAGTGATGAGTTGTTTACAACCATTATGTTTTTGTTGCTTTTGGTTCAAGTTTCATTTTCGGAAGGGCTGGATCATAGCGGTAGCGGGACCGCTGGGATGATGTACTCCGTCCATGTGTCAGAAACATCAAAATTGCATTTGATCACGAAGTAAAGTGTTGCGAATTTGAATATCACAGATGTTATGGCACAATTTCCTTTTCATATGTGTTGAGTGACATTTCGTGCTTTGCAAGGCTGAGAAGCAAGCGCCATCTGTTTGCACGACTACCAGGCAATTGGCAAGTGCCCGTGCTACACTCTTGCAGCATCCATTGACTTCCCAATTGGTTTCCCGAGCAAAATTTGGTTTCCTACATTTTGCACCGTTCTGTCTAGGTCACCAGGGGCGCAATTCGTGGTGAAGAACTCCTTCTTGGAGTGACTTGGATTTAGGGTGTACGGCAACAATTCATAGATTATCCGTAGAAATTTTCATCGATATGCAGAACATATCGGAAGTCAAATGGATGAGGAAACACATGCAGTGAATATACAATTCCCCTAACACAATGTTCTGAGTTTCCACAGTTTCAACGTTGCGGTTCCGTTCCGTTTTTTCAGATCGGCAAAAAAAAACACCATTCCCTCCTACACCCACAGATTGAAACCCAACAGTCACTGCTGTTGGGAATTAAGAAAACGTTTGTACACGAGCTAACGTGATCAAAATGTTGTTACCATTTGCTGCTCGAGGTTGGTGGAGGAACGTCCCGCCGTACGTTGGTCCGTGCGCATGCTGAGATGTGGAAATGGATACCAATCAAATTTTTACTTGCAGTTGCGGTTGCTGCTATTGCGGTTGTTGTGTATTTGATTCACTTCTTTCAGAAACAGGGGTTTACCAACAAGGAAACAACAACAATGTCAATAAAATGTTTTGATGCCAACATGGTCCATGGTCAAAAACATCTATAGTCATTGCATTCTTTCATTGCTGACTGCAAATGTGAAAAAAAATTACCCGATTGCTATTGTTTGAAACTGGTTTGGTTCGTGTTTTGATGGTCTTGTTTTCTTCGCCCTGGTTTGTTCTCATTCTGGGAGGTGCTACTCGTTTGGATTTTCTGTACTGCAATCCTTTGATTTGTTTTTTATTTTCAGAATAGTCTCACTTCAGGTTTGAAGATATTGGGTCCAAATCATCCAAATCTTTAGTCACCAAATTTGAAGTGGATCAGATACCAGACTGAAAGGAGTGCCTGATTGGTCGATTGGTCAGGTTCGAAGGGGCTCCAAGAGTGAATCCGAACTTCCTGATCTGCGCGTCCTGCACCGAGAACAAACTTTTCTTTCATCATGAGACACACGCACACAGACCCGGACAGAGATGGTTTTCTGTGATTGTGTGATCAACATCTTAAGATGGCTTTCAAAAGATGAATCCTGTTAGCCCACAATTTCTTTTGATTTGTACCGTTGCCTTCAGGTGAGATCCGGAGAGCATGGGTTGGATCGCTCAGGGAGAACTGGTCAGTTTCCAATAGCCTTGGTGGAAATAGGGAACTATTTTTTCACACCTTGGCATTAAAGGACCTCGTACTATAAGGGTCTGAATCTTGGCAAGCCTCCAGGCTGAGTGATGACGACACTGACATCGAGAGTAGTGCGCTGCTAAGTTTCATTGCCAATCCTTGCAGCATAGAGAGCTCGCAACCACAGCTGCCGCATGGCTGCCCAGCCATGCTGCCGGTATTGTTCTGGTGGGCCGTTATTGGGGAATCGGGGTTAGTTGCACCGTTGCACCGTTGCACCGTTGCACCGCAATTGGGTCTCGAGGCGGTGGATCTCCCGATTTTGAGTTGGAGGACCTGGTGACTGCGTCATGCGTCACTGGTGCCCAGAGAGCCTTGCATTCGGTGCCAGGAGTCTGACACAGAGGTTGCTTCATCAACGAATGAACAGGCGGGATGGTGGCGGTGGAGTCAACAGTAAGCTGCATCTGCCACATTGCAGATTTCTGGAAGCCAAGAAGTGGAACATATACAGATGACATATTGAGAATTAGGTGAAAGTCGAGTATAGACATTGGAATCATTGGAGGGCAACATGTTTTCGCGTTGATAAAACCTAAAGCGGAGTTTTCCGCCAGGCTTCATTTGGACAGAAGCGCCGCAGTTGGAGCGACCTCCAGGACGCAGAAAATTTTTGTTTTTCAGCCCTTCTTAGCGTGGACAAAGTTGAATCTGGCTACACTGCCAATTCGAGGATGAGGATGAAGAGAGGCAGTGGGGAGTGGCATGGAGTGGCTCATTCCATGCAAGACAGTGCAAGGTGGTAGCATGTGGTAGCTTAGATTTGGGTTTGCCTGAAAATAGGGTGCTCCAAAGTCTCATGGTTAATCATAATGTTGCGCATTTCTTTGTGGTCATAAATTAGGGGACCTTCCGCTCCTTTTGGTAAAGACCGTTGTTCAACTGGGACTTCAGTGGCAACCAACCCAAAGGCAGTCCTCGAACGGCGAATCAAGCGATGCTGGCAGCCAGGCAGTGCCAGTGCTTGAGGGAGACCTTCCGACATTTCTGCAATTTTTGTGTGGTTTAAGAGTTTCGCTTAGGCAATTTTCTCAACATGATCATTTTGGTAGGTCTATGTGTCTATCTGGATTGGCTTTGTGATATTCCATATTCTCAGGAATCTCTCCAGAAGATGCCCTTTTACCACTCGTTGGTTGATGAATAGAGGGGTACCCATTTGGGTTCAAATCATTTTGCCAGCATCTAGTCCTGCGCCCAACCGGTTTGGGAGGCGGACAGCAAGGAAGAAGGTAAGGTGCCGAAGGTGCACCCGGACTGGATGGGCCTTTCAGGAGAGTGCTGTTGTTCTGATTTCGCACAAAAAAACCCATCAAGACATGGTGACAGGACACACGATATCACACGATCAATTGTATAAAAAATGGGGTTGAAAACCAGGTTGATATCCCTGCGCCGCCCTGCCCATCTGCCTGGGGCTGAAGCTGGAAATTGCAGCATTGATCTGTAGTGCATCTTCTGGATTTTTCTTTGTGCAATTTCTGAAGTCAGTGTTGTGAGTGTGCACATGAATTGCCATAAAAACATGTAAAAACAATCTAATTTTCATTTGCTCCAACCCTTCCTGACACTGGCCACTTCAGCTTTGGCCCAGGCTGTTTCATCACAATGGTATACCGGTATACCGTATACCTCGTTTCATGAAGAAAGAGCAGTGTCATTGTGATTTTGGTTTCAAAATTGGCGGACTTGCAAGTGCAGTTGGAGAAGAATACACAGTACATTCACATGTAATGGGTAACTTTACAACAATACAATATTAGGGGAATCTTTGCATACATACGTCTCTCTCACTCTTTCTATACCTGTAATATACACGTACATCCTACACACAGATGTATGGAATGTTACATGCACACGTATCACATCTCAGATGTATTAAAATAGATGCTATATATAATATATATATATGGTATTTTTTCAACAAGATCCACACATATCTAGATTATCATTCGATTATCATTAGATTAGATTATCATTAGATTATCATTGGACTATCTGGATAATCATAGATCTTAGATTCATTATCATAGATACACTTGATTATCATCAGATTATCCATATCGGTCATGTATCGTCTCAGCGGCTGCACCGCCTCGGCCTTGGTGGCCTCAATGGCCTCGATGGCCTCGCAGCGGAGGCGGAGCGTATCAACTGAAAAAGGAGTTGCTTGCCATAGTACTGTAGTAGAAATATATATATATAATATATATACTACTAGTAATTTATATAGTACTGTAGTAGTTTATATAGCAGTACTTTTTGCGGTAGTAGTTTATATTAATATGAGCAACATTTTTTAAAGCAGTAGTTTCTATAGCAGTACTTTATCGAAGGAAGTTTAGAAGTCAAACTTCCGACAATATGGACAGATGGAAAAGCAGAGGTGGGAAGAGTCAGAGAAGAGAAGAGCAGAAGAGAGAAGATCAGAGAAGAGAAAGAGTCAGAAGAAAGAAGATGCAGATGCGCGAAAAGGTAGGAAAGTCGCGAAACACTGTGTTTTTCCAATGATTTGTGGCTCCGGAGGGTCGAAAAGTAGGCTCCCTAAAGCGGCGGGTGCGGAGCCATCTGGCCAGATGAGAGATGAAAAGTTGCACGCCGTTGTGGCGCGAAGCACATTTGGAAATCAAAATTCACAAAGCACACCATTCTCGGACTACTTTTGGAAGTTGAGATGTCGAAAAAGTGCACGCCGTTGTGGTGCGAAGCGCGTTTCCAAGTCAAAACGCACAAAGCACACCATGTTCCGACCACTGTTTGAAGTTGAGATATCGAAAAAGTGCATGCCATTGTGGCGCGAAGCACATGTCCAAGTCAAAACACAGCAGCTTGGGACCACTTTTTGAAGTTGAGATGTCGAAAAAGTGCACGCCGTTGTGGTGCGAAGCGCGTTTCCAAGTCAAAACACAGCAGCTTCGGACCACTTTTTGAAGTTGAGATGTCGAAAAAGTGCACGCCGTTGTGGTGCGAAGCGCGTTTCCAAGTCAAAACGCACAAAACACACCATGTTCCGACCTCTTTTTGAAGTTGAGATTTGAGATGTCGAAAAAGTGCATGCCATTGTGGCGCGAGGCACATGTCCAAGTCAAAACACAGCAGCTTCGGACCACTTTTTGAAGTTGAGATGTCGAAAAAGTGTACGTGGTTGTGGCGCGAAGCACATTTCGAAGTCAACATGTTAAAAACACCACATGCTCGGAGCACTTTTGCACGTTCAGATGTCGTTTCGCGTGGCAGGCGCAGGGAATTCTGCACCTTGCCAAAAGTGAGAAAAACGTGAGGGGTTTGTAGCATGTCCAAAAACGATGGCAGGCGTGGGACATTTGAAGAGGATCTGCAAAGATGCATTTCGTGTGGCAGGCGCAGTACGAGAGAGATGTTCCTCAGAGATGTTAGGGGGTCAGGGCGCTGATTTCGTGAGGGAGGTTGCATTTTGGAGCATCAGATCTTCAGCGGTGCTAAGATGACTGTGCGTGACAGGTGCAGCACTTCGTATGACCTGGCATCACTTTTTCGCAACAGGCGCAGTACTTTAGACAGGTGGAGTGGAAAATCGCAACACGCATTGGTACGAGGCCGTCAGCTCTGCACTCAACTTTCCATTTTTGAAGGAAGTCTCGCAGAATTGCTGCGTTTTTGATGTTGTCAACTTGAAACATTGAGGAAGTCTCGCAGAACAGCTTCGTTTTCAAACTTGCAGATAGATAGATAGATAGATAGTTAGTTAGAAAGATAGAGATAGATAGATAGATAGATAGTTAGATAGATAGTTAGTTAGATAGATGGATAGATAGATAGATAGAGAGAGAGAGATAGATAGATAGATAGATCGATTAGATAGATTAATAGCTAGAGATAGATAGAGAGAGAGAGAGATAGATAGATAGATAGATCGATAGATAGATAGATAGGTACGTAGATAGATAGATAGCAAGATGGGCGGATAAACAGAAAGACGAATAGATAAACAAATACTTAGATAGACAGATAGATAGACAACTGCATCAGCACTACATCACACTACAACTACAACATCAGCTACAACTACACTACCACTACAACTACAAGTTCAACTACACTTCAACTACAGCTACAACCACAACTGCAACTTCAACCACACTTCAACTACAACTACAACCTCAAATACAATTACTACAGCTACAGTTGCAATTACAAGTGCCACTACAACCACAACTGCAATGACAACTGCAACTGCAACAACTAGTACAACTACACTACAAGTGCAGCGGCAACTGCAGCTGCAACTACAACTACAACTACAACCTCAGCTACACTACAACTACACTTCAACTACAACTTCACCTGCACTACTACAACAGCAATTACCACGACACTACACTACAAAACTACAACTACAACTACAACTACACTACACATACCGCTGCAACTACAACTACAACTCCTACAACTATTGCAACTACTACAATTACTACAACTAAGACAATGACAACTTCAACTACACTTCAACTACAACAACAACTACAACCACAACATTACACAACATCAACCCCACTACAACTACAACTACAACTACAACTACTGCACTACACCACACTACGTCCGGGAGTTGTGGGGTGACGCGACCACTGCAACCATTGCAACCGCTCCAAAAAACACAGCTCCAACCACCTTTGGGTCCATCAGTGGATTCGCTCCACCATCCATGCATCACAACAACCCACCTCTCCTATAGTGTCCTATCTTGAAACCTCCGCCACCGCCTAGTGCGGTACTACTGGTATTTATTAACTATGATCATTTTTTGAAAGATTGTCAACGAATATCGAGAATAGAACAGAAACGGATGGTATATGCTCCATTATCTTCCTGCATTTTCAAAAATCACGGAGACCGTTTGAATTGTTAAATTTCAAAAAAATAAGATGCAGAACTCTGGTTTACGGTTGATACGGCTGTTCGATTCTGACGTAATGAAAAAAAATGGGATAAATTTTAAATCTTGCACGTGATGTATAAAAAGTTGTTGTGATGAAGTCGCTTCAAACACAAATGCGCAAGGCAAACAAACAATCACAGGGGTCTTGCTGAAATGACTTGCCGTCGCTTCCGCTCAAGCCTCCTTGAAACTCTCCTCGAACTCTCGGCAATTTCCCCATTTTTGCTTGAAAAATGGCGCCCATGAAGGCAATGAAGGCGATGAAGGCAATGAAAGCCATGAAGAGCATGAAGTCGATGAAGAAGGCCGATGACGAGGAGGTGCCAGCTATGAAGGCAATGAAGGCAATGAAGGCGATGAAGGCGATGAAGGCGATGAAGGCAATGAAAGCCATGAAAGCAATGAAGGCCATGAAGTGATTGGCTCACTGATGATGGCAATGCTGGCATCATTCGGGTCTTTTGATGCGCCCAAGTGACATAACAGTACAAATACAGGGAGGATTTTGTTCAGGTCCGTAGGGCCTGAAATGTACAGAAATGCGCAGACCGACTCTGTGCCATCTGTGCCTGAAAACAAAGTGTGATGAGCAAGTCGTTGCTGATGCATGCTGTGCAGTTTAGCCTTTAGTGAATGAACAAATCCCATCAGGGCTTCCCATAATTTGCCAAATAACTACAGAACCCTCCAAAAATATTAAAAGAGTGAAATTCTGCTAAAACTATGGTAATTTACTTTACCTGTTTTATTGGGGGTACTATAGAAACAAAATAACATGATAGTAGTAATGTATAATATTTAATATTGATTAATATTGACCAAAACCATTGTTTGACACATTGCAGGGCGTCACCTCAAGTGGCCCGCTGCGATGTTCGAGGCTGCAAGTCTGTGGACTGACAGCAGTGGATTGTACACTGAACTGGTTCCATTTTTTTCTTTCAAATCGATTTCATGATTGGGGCATGCTTCTGAAGATTTGGTTTTTGATCGCATTTCAATGGAATGTGGACAGATGGTTCAGAGGTAGTTGCCTCTGTTTTTCGGGCCCGACTAGGCACTGGAGATCTGCTGAGAACAAGCAGAACCTTCACCTTCCTGAACTTACTGGACAGAAGAGCTCAGAATCTGGAGTTTGCTAGTGGACTGGACTTGCTGATGCTAGGCTTTGTTTTTGTTGCGAGGAACGGGTGCTGTTTCTAGTTGGCCTTGCAACTGATGTGGTTTTGATATGTTTTGATTACAACCTCGATCGATTGCCTAGCTGTTAATCAATTGGTTTGTCTCAATGACATGAATACATTGAGTTATCGAGGTCAAGCATTCTTTCGCCCACTTTGTCCTTAACCCCAGGAAAAACGGCGAGTCTGTGGCCTCGGCTGCTCAGCAGCTGTTGAACTTTGCTGATTTGGCACAGGTGGGCGCCTGGTTTTTTGGGATTTTCGCTGAGATGGGCGATGGTCGGCATAAAATGAGCCGCTGAACCATGCTGAGCCATGCTGAAGCCCCCGAGGCTATGCTGGAAGCTGAATCTGCTGGGAGCCTCCAACACCTGGATCTTCCAGAGCAACTGGGCCGCTGCGCAGCAAGTCTCTGGGACCGCTTTGTGGAGGCGGCCCAAATCAACGGAGGAGTTCCAGGTGTGGGGAATCAAAGGTTGACCAAACATGAGAAACACATCTTGAAGTCAAGTGCCATATGCTGTACTGATCCAAGATGATGCTGTAGGATGCCGTAGGTCGTTTTCCTTTTTTTTTGAAATTGGAAGCCGAAAAAAACTTCCAAACTGCGAGCGTTTCCGGCTGCAGAAACTTGGGCATCCATTGCTCGGAATCTCCTGGCCAACGACTACGCCTTTGCGCTGTTCAGTTGTGCTGAAGCGAAGATCGTACAGCAACAGCTGAGTAAGCTGCACATTGAAATGATCATCGATCCGATGGCTGGTAGTGGTTTGCAACTTGACTTGTTTCTAGTTATTTTGTTTTTTTTTGTGACTTGGGTGTCTTTCTAAGCAGAAGACAACACCCGACATTATCCACCAAAAGGAATGCTGTCCCAAGTAGTCCCAAGGCATGGCCGGCTGCTGGCGCAGGAAGGCTTGCAGGTGCACTGCATGGATGCCATGCCGGGTGGAGCAGGAGTCCCATTGAGAGAGTTACCTATGTGATGTCCTGGGAAGTTGATAAAATGATAAAAGATGGTCTGATATGGTCTGATGATCTTTAATTCATGAGAGTTCCCCTCCAAATGTGGTCGGACGGGCCTTGGTGCTGTTGTAGATTGCTGAACCCTGGAAGGAGGCATTTGCTGGTATCCTGTGCAGAGACATTACTTGAGTCACTGCAACAACGAGATGATTCCTCCTGGGAGATGCGCGTTGTTCATGAGTCTTGCCGGATTTCGGGCAGGAACCTGCAGGATCACAGATCTGTAGGCTTTCACTTTGGTCAGCCACAGTTTTGGATACTGAAAAAGACAATTTTCAGAACCTAGCCTTTGGCCATTGCACATAGTAATAACATGTAATAACAGTTATGCATATAACTTATGCATGTGATTTTGAACATGACTATTTAATACTATTTAACTATCCATATTATCCATGATTTTTATGGTATTTTTAAAGGGAAATCATGGAAATCATGGAACGAAAGGGGCTATGTTTTTCCCTCCTAGGAGCTGGCCTCCACGGAGCGAAGCCGCTCAAATGGCCTTGCGCAGCTTTGGTCGCTCGGAAATTTGGGCAGCACCGCAGGTTGAAAGATTTGAAAGGTGAGCCATCCAAAATATCCAAAATATCCAAAACATCCAAAACATCCAAAGCATGTCTTTGTATCTTGAATATTCTTGAATTCATCTAGACTGTAAACAGATAAACATTTTTCAACTTAAGATTAAGATTAAAACATGTATAGAAATTATGCACAAATGAGTGTGGATGAATAAAGAATAGACACGCACGTATTCTTAGATATTCATGATTTGTTGCTGTGACAAACCAACCGCGAAGCCCAGAGGCTGTGATGTCTTGGTTCTTGTGGCTGATGAGGGCTCCTGGCATGGCAGCCAGTCCTTCCACCAGGAGTTGCAGGAGCAGTTGCCATCGGCGGGGAAGAAACTGCTTGGATGCTGCGTTGCTGCTGTTCTGCTGCTCCAATTTCATCCAATTTCATCTCATTGCTGTGTGTACATAGTCCTACCATGTCCTACCCATGTACCGGCACCAGTGACCAGTCCCCCGTGGCCTTCTGCGCACTTTCGCCGCGAGGATCACTGGGAGGAGATCTTGCGGCAACCCATCTTGTGCTGGCCGCGGCAAGGAGACACGCTGCGGATTCTGCGGAAAAAGGGCGCACTGATTCGTCTCAAATCTTGCAACCCTAGAGTCCTAGAGAAACACGTCGAGGACTGGGAAATCTGCAGCGCAACTACGCAACTACAATTTTTATCCATGACCAGCGGTTTGTAAAACATCTCCGTTTTCTTTCCCCCGTTTTTGTGGCCAAGAGAGGCATATCAAGCCTTGTGTGGTAACACCGGATACATAGAATGTGATGGCCAATAATACTGGCGGGTATACAATGACACTCCTTTCATACAACTGATGGTAAACATCTACCAGTTGTTTCCTGTTCCCATTTTGCCGATAATCCGGACGGCTGCTGGTGCATACGCCAAGATGATCCCATTTTGACTAATATTTGTCATGGGTGGCTCAACCAGAAAGCGGATATATTTCAGAGATCTTACCCATGGTTTTTTTTGGCTATCTGACTAGTATGGGCGTGTCTGAAAATAGTGTACCCCTAAACCCAATGGTAAATGATCATTATCCCAATTAAATGGCTATTTCATTGGGAATATACCCTATTTTCAGACAAACCCAAGACCATAATTGTCATTAAATGGCTATTAAATGGCTATTTCATTGGACCTATATAAGGTTCTATAATTGGGAATATACATAATATACCGTATAGACAATGCCAAGTCTCTAGACATTCTGCCGCAGCTCAAGGTCTTCGAGGCTTTGCCAGCCATCTCCGCTGCAGCGGCTGCCGCGGCTTTTGATGCAGCAGGCATTTAATGGGTGAAATATGGGAAATGGAGATGGAAGATGGAAATGAATGGAAATGTTCATTTGTCTTAAAATTGGTACCCCCCGAAAAGCCAATGAAAATTGGAAGTTTTTTTAGGGATAAACCATGATAAAGCATAATTTAAATGGGTGAGTGATCAACCATGGAGGTTTGAGTTAGGGTTTTGGGGTTATCCAAGCTTGAGACATACCCAGCTGAATGGATAGGTGGATGGTTGGTCTGATCTTTTATGGATGTGAACCCAACCCCCCCGAATTCACAGGGACCGTTTCTTTGGGCCAAAGTATGCACAGGCATTAAAGACTTGGTAGGTCACCTGGGTTTGATAGATATTGCTCTTAATAAGCTGTTGAACCCCAAACTGTGGCTTTCCATCGAGTATAAACTAAACACAACAAAACTATTTTGGGAGATGCTTAGATGCCTACCCTTTCTGCATGTGCGGGAGAGGATGTTGTTGTGTCATGTTGTGTCATGGCCGCCATACCTTGAGGCCTTTCCCCCGACTTCCTGCAGAACTTGCTTCAAGAACAGCAACGTCGGAAGCCCAGCCTGCGGCTTCATGACGACATGCCTTTGACGAGATCAAATCTGAAAGAAATTCTCAAGAGGAGATGAGCAGGAACCCCCTTCTATTTTGGAGGGTAAATATCGTAGTTTCTATCCAACATTTTTCCTTAAATGAACCCAGTGAAACCACCACACACACAACTCGATCCACGCATAGAATCAAATCCAGCAGGCGACACGGTGCCGGAGGCATCGCCTTTGCCGTCGCTCAAGCCCACAGGCGCCGTTGCCATTCCAGAAGTTGTTGAGGCAGTCAACTTCTCCAACAAAGATTTAGAAGTTAACATCTCGGCAAAGGTTTGCGTCATCATTGTTCTTCTCTTGTGATCCTGACGATAGGTTCAACTGGCTCAAGAGATCACTTCAAAATGTCTGCATTGTTTTTGATACCGAACATCCTCCAAAGCATGAATTACCACAGTACTGGGATCAAAATGGAAGTTTCCCCAAATCCCTTGTTGGATCATTCTTTTGACCATTAAGATGGTCATGAATTGGGGGGCCATTCCTCATTTTTGGACCCTTAAACTCTCTTTCATCATCACATTGTTGGTTATAGATCCGCATTAAAACCTGTCATGTAAATCATCATATTGTTGATCATATTAGTCATTTTACATACATTTACATAGCTGCATCCTCTCAATAAGTGATAAATATCATGATATGGAGGTTTCCATATTTCATATGGGTACCCCAAAAATGGATTTTTGCCTGATGGAAAATCCCAATCTGAAATGGATTTTTTTTTGGGGGTATCCCTATTTTAGGAAACCTCCAATATATCCTCATTATCGCTGGTGTTATGCCACCTTTTCTTTGTTGCTTCACCAGGTCAAGGCCAAAGCAGCGGCTCTCCGTTGGTGATCTCCGTGGCGGATGCTTTGGCACCGGTGCGCTCGGTGTTTTGGCGGGGGAAGGGATGACAGGTTGAGTCGGTTAAGACAGAAAAATGTACATCCACTATCATATATCTATATAAATTGTATTATATGATGTATAATATATATATATAGATAGATATCTACAATATACTTTAAACTAGATGTAAATAAGATATTGACACAGAGTTATGTTGCGTAGATGACTTCCAGATTGTGGACCCGAATACCTTCCGTTTCTTTGAAAAATAATAGACGTTTCTGAAAATATCCCTGATCCCTCAGATGACTATGAGTTTCTGCAGGCAAAGCCACGCGACACTCGCACCACGGTGATGTTGCGGAACCTCCCGAACAACTACACGTGGGGGGGCCCAGGCGTGCGGAAGCACTCCGCATGATTTGTATCAGGAAGAGGATCCATAGTTTTTAGCACTTGCTTTTGCTCCAAGGCGATTGATGGTCGTGAACTTACTGAATCAGGAGACTTTTTACGCCGTGTCCGCTGACCTAGACGCCATTTTGGAGTGCAACATCCATTGCTGCAAGTCGCAGTGTCTTCGTCATCTCTGTGTGTTTGAGCCAGGAGGGCTTCAAGGGCAAGTTCGATTTTTTGTATCTTCCTATCGATTTTAGGCCAGGACATGTCATGGCCTAGAGAGCCTGGGTGCTGTTCCATGCCCCATGGTGCCATGGTCAGGTCTAAGGCTGGCCTGGGGTATGCCTTTGTCAACCTCTGCGATCCTTCCTTTGCCGGTGTCCTCAGATCGAGCTGAGGGAATTTGGTGACCACATGGCGACACCTGAATGGATTCGTTGTCCCGAAATTCGGGATCTCAGGAGATCTTTCAAACATTTCCTCGACGGGTCCAGAAATGTCTAGAATATTGGAAAGATGGGCCACGGGCCGATTCCGAGGTGCAACAATTTTGGAAGACTTTCGACGGCTTTACCAAATGGGTGCGCATCTCCAGCTCTGACGAACAATTTGGAAGACCACGGTTGTGATGGTTGTTTGTTCATCTCGAACCATTTGGATTTCTCTTGGTATTTAAGGCGACCCCGGTCCCCCAAATGCCAAAAAAATGTTGCCGTAGACATACGTATCCGTATTAATATTCGTTGTTTCAGACCTCTATCTATATAGATACACGTACATACACATGTAGTATACTTCCATAATCAATTATGACCAACAGGGGTGACCACCAAAGATCTCGACTTTGGACTCTTTGACGTTGCCCGGATCCAAACGTTGTGGCAGGTTTTGCCCAGCTCCAAGGTCTGTCAGGCAGGGACATGTCAAAGCTGAGTTTTCCAGATTGTTTGGAGGATATGTAGCAGCAATGTAGTACTTATGTATGTTTGATGTCAAGGATTGGCAACTTGACTTGGACTTGCAGTGGAATTTGAGTGCAGTTGATCAGTGAGACGAAAGTGATGATGTTTGAGATGAATTTGATGAATGTCCAAGAAAGTCAGCCAAGTGACTCCTCAATTTTCAGGCTATGCAAACTTCTCACACTTGGCCTGTCGTCACAGATTACCCCAGTTGGATGCTGGTTTTGAGGTGAGCTGGAGTGGTCCTCACCAGGCCGCGGCTGAAGTTTTTCTCCACCGCCCAAAGGGCGATGAAAATGGGGTACGGTATATAGCATATACCCCCAAATCCTCTACTTTGCCACCATTTTGCCCATCAAAATTGCCACAAGTTGGTATATGAGCAATTTTTGGGCAAATCCAAATTATATAGATATGGTTGCTGTATCCCATTGTATCCCTATGATATCCTCATTTATGGTTTATTTATGGTTTATTTTTATAACCATAAACCATCATAAACCGATGCCCAATGCCACATCATGCACATGTGGGGTCCAGGGACAAGCTGCACATGTCGAACGCTATCGGAGCAGCCCCATCATGCACAGCAGCGTGCCAGATGAGTGCAAGTCCGGGGACCCAATGCTATGGCAGCTGTTAAAAGCTCAAAACATGACTCAGGGAGACTCAGGGGTCCAATGTCTCATGAAACAGGAGGATATTTCAAAGATAAACTTTTTCGTTTAACGATGGTGATATACTCAATGGTTGTGGTATCCAAACACACATTTCACCATCCCAATCATTTGTTTTTTCTCGCTGATTGAACGTAGCCTTAATGACTTGGTGGTTTTTTCTTGGATGAATTTCTACTTCTCCACAGGTGCTAGGTCCATGAGCTTTTTCTTTTTTCCCTATAGATGTTTTCTGGCTTGTTGGTGCTTGCTGGGAAGCCCAAAGAAAGAAGGATGACTCATTTGTTTTGAAATTGGTTTTCGCACAGCAGGGTGGAAAGATCCAAGCATAGCTGTGGAAGATGATTCCCCATCAATGCCATTGTGGGGAATCGTGTCATTTATGGTCTGGTGATTTTTGATAAGACATTTTTCAGGACATTTTTGTCGCTTTAGTAATCCTTAAGGGTTTGCCATACACACATGCCCTGTGACACGAGGCCCATTGTCCGGGCCTCAGCTCGCCACTCCTGGGTTACCACTTTCTCTTCTAGAATGACATGGTTTTTATTGGATAGCCCTGGTGAACATCATTTTTCGCCATTCGAAAGATGGTTTTGATCCCCTTTCCAGGTATTGCTGGACGGTGAACGCGTGGCCTTTCCAGAAGCCCTGAAGAAGATTCGCGCTGACGCCTCAGGATTGATGCCCTCCACATGGCAAAATTCAGCATGCCAATTTTCCATGAGAAAATCATCCATTCGGAAAGGGAGGTTTATCAGCTTCCATGGTTATCTTTGGTTCTCCTATGTTATCCTCTAGTAATGAAGTCCCTTTGCAATGGAATTCGCCCATCTCTAGGAGTCTAGTAAAGCATTTCTATGAGGATTTCATAGGTTGCTGACTTGCACCACTTGTTGAGGCCCCACGACAGAGGAAGTGAGGTCAGAAAATGCTTGGAGATTCCAAGATCCAGCCACTGCTGCGGTGGCACGGTGCCGGGCCTGGTGAATCGATGGGCTTGGGAATAGGTCAAAATCGATGGTTGAAGAACGGTAAAGAATGGGAAATGTGGGTTTAAATGTGGTTAAATCATGTTGAATATATTTGAATATTGCATCTAGTTGAATTGGTTGAATACGCCAGAATCTCTGGTTCCCAGCATCACAGATGATCTGGAAATCTGCATGCTTCAAGCGGGCCTACCAGCTCCCCACTCAGTTTTCTGTCATTCTCTCAGGCGGTGACAGGGCCGCAGGTGTCAGCGAACAGCAGCCAATACAAACATCGGCTGTTTTGATCCAATTTGTATAGTCTGCAAGCTTTGCTCCACAAAATTCACGATGGGTTTGGAGGATCGTGACGAGCTCAGAATTCAGGAGAGGGACGCACCAAATCCAGCTGGTGTTGGTGGGAACTCTCCAAAGTCTTGAGCCAAAGAACATCCATCGCTGGGATCACTAACGACTCGGTGATGCTGCAAGGACTGTGGTGTCAAGATGGTCGACTTTTGTGGGCCCCACTAGTGGGGCCTGTCATACCATCTTGGAGTTTCGCTAGTCCGCGGGATCTTTTCCAGCATAGCTGGGCACGGGGATAAAGCAGCCGCTGCAGTTGATCAAACATCCTCATGCATCATGAATGGCATATACTGGTAGAACCGGAATCGAATACTTGGGCATATGAATGGTAAATAATTCACCAGCTCCTTACCGACTGTTTCCTAAATACGAGGCTTTTGGGGCCGGACGCGCCCCCTGAGTTGTGGGCTCAACATGCGGAATCGTCCAGTAGAAAATCGTTGCAAAGGCTCATGGATGCTAATGGGTACTTTTTCCATTGCGTTTGCTGAAATTCAGTTGAAACTCTTACGAAACTCTTACATTCTTGGCCTATTGGGTCGAAATGGGTTGAAATGGTTCGAAATGGACCTGACGCACTTATGGCTGCTGCATAGGGATCCCAGTACCCAGCTGTACGTTGTAGACCCATGCCTTCAGTGGCGGAGTCTGTAGGACGAAAACTCGGCGTCTGTCCAAGTGGAAGTCTGTCTGCGAAGCGTCTGAAGGCATTTGACTTGGACTGTGTGTGTGTCTAGCACCGTTTTGGGGTTGGGAAACTGAGCTGCTCCACTGTGATACCAATGCTCCAGTGGCCGGGAGGCCAGCATAGGGCCATAGGGCAACCGATTTGGCAATTTGGAGGATGGAGTGACTTTGAGAGTCCACGTGTCCTTGATTAGACACATACATAATATCATGCAACATCAACATTATATGATTGTTTATGTATAACGTAATGAGCATGACTATGAATAATATAATATATATATATATTCACACATACATACATATCTATTCCACGTTTTGGAACCTTCTGCGGCGCTTTCCCTCCCATTGTGTCACTCTGCAAGTTTCATCTCAACCCTGCAAGTTACCACCCAACATAGTCTGTTGTGTCACTGGCTGCGAAGGCCCAGGGCTGGTTCAGTGGAGTGTATGCTTGGTACAAACAGCTCGCTCAGGTCCTGAGAAGCCGTTTGCAGTTTTAGCTCTGGCCGTTGGTCCTCAACGTTTCAGTAAAACTGAGAAGGAGTTTGGATAGGATATGGTTGATATGGTTGGATGGGTCAAAGCTGGCCGTGGGCATTTGGTTGTGAGCTGGAATCCGTAGAGTGTTAGGTAGAAGAATTACTGGTAAGGAACTTCTTGATGCCACAGTGACATTTCTAGTCATACAGTGATCATAGATAGCCATTGTGACTATGGTGTTCCATGTTCTTCCGTACAGCGTGGAGACCATCCGTTGCCTGGAGCCTGCTGCCAAGATCTAGGATTCTCAGGCAATACCTCCAAGTGCAGACGGGTGCAATTGGCCCAAGATGCGCTTCAATCTTGACCTCTTGTGTGGAGCTCTGGATATGCTCTCCTTCACACACTTCCTTGTTCGAAGCGGTGCTGGGCCATCCCTTGTTCCTTGTTTTTTCAAAGTGTTCTTACTGGCGGGGTTTGCGACCTTCAGAGCTCTGCAGGGTTTTTCCTCGCTGGGGAACTTTCGTGATCAAAAACTAGATCGCTCTGATCGTCTTCCAAATTTGGCAGATGGTGACAGTCTGGGACGAGTTGTTGGAGTGAGCTACACGGACAAATTTGAACAAACTAAAACAACCAATTGTTGTTGTTGGTGTTGTTGTTGGTGTTGTTGGTGTTGTTGGTGTTGTTGTTGTTGTTGTTGTTGTTCTTTTTGATCTTTTTGATCTTTTTGTTGAGCAAAGTTGGCTGCGTCAGATACACCGTCCAGTCGGAGTGGAGCTCAGTTTGGGTTTTGACGGCCAGTCTTTCATAAGTCTGAGTGAATCGTGTTGGGTTGGAAATGAATTCTATTCACCAGAACTGGTTGTTATACACTTGTGTTGCTTTTTGGAACCATCCCGTGAAACTCCTTGAAGTTTGTAAATGAATGTAAATGACTAAGTTACATCTTTTCTCTCGTGTGAGGGACAAATCCTCCCTAACATTGTTAAGTGATGATTGGTTCAGAGTCAGGGAGTTTGGTCCAATTTGAGCTTTGGTCATTTTGGTCCTTTGGTCATATTTAGTTCATTTTCTCCATCGTCCCCGGCCTCACCGAGCTTTGTGATCACTTGAATTTTCACAGTTTTTATGGGGCTACTGCCTGGAGGGAGTCGGAGGAAGGGGCTAAACACCAGCAGCCTGCGGCTGCCGGCACTGTCCAACTTTTGTCTCCTATCCCTCCAAACCAATTCGACGTGCTTGAACTACGGTTTCTTGTTCCTCGCTGGGGTGCAAGCACAGAGGCTGCATCCCAGCCAGGGTGGCTCAGTGGCTCCGACCACTGGACCACCTGTGCTGACATTACGGAACTTGGAGTAAAAGGATCCAACCAAAAGCAGAGCCCCTGCCGCTGCAAGCGATCTGCAAGCGTTTGGTGCCAGCCTTGTGGAAGTCAGAAGTCACATTGAAGTGCCATTGAAGGACCCTGGTCAAGTTGGGCTGGACATGTTAGCGGAGATCTTCAAGATCTTCATGATCTTCATCTCAGAATCCCCATTTGGATGATCACAGGACCGTTGCCTGGTTGCTCAAGGAACATCTCCGTCCAAATCGAAGTGGTACAAGCATCCCAAAACTGACACAGGGCCAATTGCCTCTCCAAAGGTCCGACCTGTTTGCCCAGTTTGAAGATGAACTGACCTTGGCATTTTTGTGGGTTGGGGCATGCAGTCAACTAGTCAACTTGTATCCCTTGCAGTGATGGATGAGTTGGGTGGTTTATTCCGTGTAGATTTGAAGCTCTACCCATGGGCCCGCGCTGTGTGCACGGGTGCACTGGGATGGACAGGGCTTGGAGGACTGCGTGACAGGGCTGTTTGAGGTATATAGCATTTTTCATTCACTCACCGTTTTGGCATCCATTCATATCCATTCTTGTGTTCTTTCTTTTTCAGCCACCTTCATGCAAAACTGCAACACATCTCTGATTTCTATTGATTTCTGGTTTTCTGTTGTTGTGGTGGTTGATTGCATGCGCAGGATATGGCCCTTCTGGCTGTTGGGTGTGTGTATTGGAAGCATCTTGAAGTCTTCCCTTCTGCTGCTCGATTGCAACCTCAGTCGCTGACTTTGTTCGTGGTGATGGCGGAAGCCACCCACCAATGTCACCAATGGCAACGGCTCCAAGGTTTTCAAGGCTGAAGCATGAAGAATACACCACCTGATATCAACTGATTCTGCTTTCTTTTGCACAAGCTGCTGTGGATTTGGCAGTTTCACTTCAGATCAAAACCTGAGGTTTGTGGGACACTCAGCTGGCTCCTTAGTTGTCCCATGAGATGCTTGCTGCAAAAAAGCTATGCCATGGTGATTCCCAGGTGAGACCAGTGCTCCGGCATGGGCTGCCTCGATGGGCGGCGGAGGCCAGGGAAACTTGGCGGACTTGGGTTGAGGACTTCGTCCTTTTCCTTGAGGAGTTTCATTTTTCTTTTGGAAGTTTTCGGCAAATAAAAGGATGGGACCTCTTAAAGGGTCGACTTTTTGTACATCCCTACATTTGGAAGTGTCGTAGCCATGTTCCAGGTATCACCCCCTGAGGACATGGCGCAGGCCAAAAAGGCCTGGCATGATGGCATGATGCAAGAATATGCCCAGGGGTTGATTCATGTGGGGAATCCTCCTCAGATGCGGCAAAAAATTTTGAAGAACTACCCCTTTTGGTCCCTAGTCCTGGCAACTATGATCTGAAATCGCAGCTTTTTTGAACAAATAGCTGGCACCTTCGCCATGGGCTTGACTTCGTGGGACAGGAGATTGCCGAGCTGGAAGAATTGGTGAAAGCCAATGATGCTGATGCACAATTCAGGCGGCTGATTTGCCCACTTTGTCAGCAGAATATTTACACAGCTACTTGATGTTACTTGGATCCAGCCAATCTCACAATTTTCGCTGGCAGAAAAGAACGCTGCAAAGTAACACCCACTTTTCAACATGGGCTTTGTTTGAGCTTAGTGGGATTGCACCTTACAATTACACTACAATCCCACTGATGACATCCCTATGACATCCCTATATATCCCTATGACATCCCTATGACATCCCTATGACCAGTGCTTGGCGTTGCGGTACCTTCAACAGCTGGCCTTGCAAATTGCCAGGCTCGGCCAGGTGTATCGCAAAGGACGTCCGCCTGGCTCCGTTGCCTCCGTTGCTTCCGTTGGTGCCTCTGTGTGACTCTCCGGCGCCAGGCTTCGTTGAACAGGATTTTACCAGGGCGTTCGGGGGCCCAGCAGAATCCCACGCAGTCGGATGGCCGGTTGATGCCGGTTGCCTCTGGCAAAAATATTGCGAAACCAACCATTTTCAATCAACGAGACAAAATACCTCAAAATACCTCTATGAGTTTTCTTGGGTAAATGATTGTTTGTATCGATTAGCTGCCCTGAAAACGCGAGGTTTGAGCTGATCTTTGATGCTGCGCAGCAAGAGCATGTGAGAGCAGAACATTTGCTCGGGATGCTTGGCTGGAAAATTTGGATGGGGACTTTAAATGGCAAGGGAGGATCAACAAATTCAGTCACAGCAATACACTTTCAATAGTCAAGAAGATCGGTAAAGCCTTTAAGTACAAAGCAAAAACTGGTGGTTGAAAGTGCAAGCTGGCTCGGTGTTTTTCGGTTTTGTCTGATAGCCGGGATTTTTCACGTTTGCTCGTGCGCTGGAATGGAGTGATAACATGGTCCAAGGATGATGCTGATCCGCGGTGAGGGCTGCGAAAAAGATGAAGACACTGGGTGCAACTTCGTTCTGATGGCTGCAGAGGATGGGGTACACAACTGCAACTCTCAATTTTCCTTCATGTGCCATTCCACCTGGATGCACCTGCAATTGCCAGGATGGCTATCCACCAGCCCAGTTTGCCATGGGAAAGCTCTACATGACTGGGCTCCATCCTGCTGGAGAGGAGTTGATCGGCCCAGTCTCGGCATTCCGAAAAGGGGATACCTTGGCTTTGGCATTGACTTTTCCGAATTGCAGTAGGGGGTACACAGGCTTCCGCCATTTTTAACGTTCAAACGCCACATCTTGGAAGTCTTGACCCATGCCAACATGTCTCCCGCGGGCTCCCACGATTGACGTGTCCTATCGCGTCAGTTTGAATGTCAGGACAAGCTTTCCGGCGCCTATTGGCTGAAGCGGGTGGGGGGCTCACTGCATGGCGGGGCTTGGAATGCATAGATCATTTTCCTGGTTGATGTGGGCCTTGCGCACCAGGCATTGTCGCAAGCCTCTCCCCAGTTGGAGGATGTCACGCCATGTCACCCAGGCTGCGGCGGATCACGTCCCTGCCCAGCTGATGTTGGGTGAGCTGTTGCTGAAGGGCGAAGGGGTGAAACGTGCCTTGTCTGCAGATGCCGTGGCCAATTGAGGCGGAAAGAGCAGTGCAGCTCAGTGTCAGTGCTGGCTGAGGCAATGAAACCTTGGCGGCTCAGTACTTCATGCTGGCAGCCAGAAAAGGCTCTGTAGAGGCTCAAAGGGGTTCATTTAGGCTCAGGCATCAGCTAACGTTCTTGGAGAAGAGGGCAGTGGTAGATGACTTGAACAAGCTGCACAGATACTTGAAGTGCAACTAACTATATAGTTAGTTGGGTGAGACATTTTTCCCGAATGCGTAGCGAAGGGTTCTTGTTTTGTACTTTGGCGGTCTGGGTCGTGTTCGCTTGACGCTGCTTTTGTGTTCGCAACCGTCGGCACGACTGCGGTGAGGGCCCTATGGCCGTGCCTCTGACGAGTGCTGCAAAAGTGGTCACTTTTGGAGGTTCAAACGTCGCATAATCTCGTTTAGTGTGACAGGCGTGGCACTTCATGACATTTCAACATGTCTAGTAACGTGTCAATAGTCGTTCTGTGTGACAGGAGCAATAATTTTACATCGTTTTTAGAAGATGACATGCATTTTGAGTGGCAGGTGCAGCGCATTGGAGGTGTCCATGTTCATTTTGCTTGGCAGGGGCAGCACTTTAGACGTGTCGTGCTGCGTGTTTTCGCGGGTCGCAGTGTCAGGGCTGCGTCAAGTGGTGACAATGTGCAAATTCTGTGGCAGGCGTGGGGCTTTGTGACATGTGATGGAAATTGACGGAAGCCTTGCACGAAACATCGACTTTGAGGTGGCAGACTTTGGGGTTCATGAGGAAAGTTGTAGCTACAGATCTGACTTTGAAATTTTGATAAATTTTGAGAAAGTCTCGTGCGAAATGCTTGTTTGAGCCTCCGACATGTCTCGTTTCGTTTCTCTGGTTTTGTTGTGGTGTCGCCGTGCCTGTGGGGCAAGCTGCGGTTTCAGAAGAGGTTGCAGGGTCGTTTTGCGTGCCAGGCGTGACAGTTCGTGACATTCCAACATATTTCATTAAGTGTCAAAAGTCGTTCTGCATCGTTTTCAGAGGATGACATGTATGTTGCGTTGCAGGCGCAGCACTTTAGACGTGTCGTGCTGCGTGCTTTTGCGGGTCGCATTGTCAGCGCTGCGTCAAGTGGTGACAGCGTGCAAACTCTGTGGCAGACGTGGGCGATTGTGAGAGGGTTAGTTTGCGCGGCAGGCGCAGCATTTGGTGAAGTTCCGTTGCGCGTGGAATGCCACTTTGTGTGACAGGTGCAGTATTTGCTGACGTGGCAACCCCCGCTGTAGAATCTATTTTCCACACTTTCCACAGTTTTCACTGCCCACTTGACACTCCACCTCCCCAACCCACATCTCACATCATCTTACACTTTACACTCCACCCTTTACACTCCACGCTTTACACTCCACACTTTACACCCCACATTCAACACTCCCCGCTCCACTCTCTACACTCCACACTCCACACCTTACACTTTACACTCCACACTTTACACTCCGCAGTCTGCACTCCGCACTCTGCACTCCACACTTTACACTCCGCACTCCACATTTTACACTCTACACTCACCACTTAACACCCCACACACATTACATTCCACACTCCACACTCTTCGCCTTAGACTCCGCCCTCTGCACTCCACTCTACACTTACACTACGCTCTACACTGCTCTACACCGTTAACACACCACACTTCACACCCTCTACTCTCCATACTCTACATTCCATACTCTACACTTCGCCCTCCACACTTTACACTCAACAGTTCACACTCCCGACCCTGCTCCACACTTTAGACTTCCCAATCCCCACGCGACATTCAACACTCCAACGCTCCAACACTCTTACGCTCCACCCCTTACACTCTGCGCTTTCCAGTCCAGATTCACACTCTCCACTCAACACTCCACTCTTCATACTCTACAGTTCCAAGTCCCCACTCTGCAACCCCCCTTTCTCCACACTCCACAGTCTACGATTGTACGGTACTGGTCACAGGGGAAGAAGGTACAAGATTGTCTAAACAATTTGTTTCGCATAAGTGTTTTACGTGATTGCATTCGGGTTCGTTGGTTGGTCTTGTTTTCGTAACTGGAGAAGCAGAAAGCTTGACCATGAATCCCATGCTGCCAGGCTCAAGAGATTGTGGGCCAATTGTTTCGCACCGGTACCGGGGTGCCGCAAGACCAGGAGTGGGCTTTGCGGGCGTTTTACGTGGTGGACCATCCCCAGATTGACATCAGAAGGGAGCCGTTCTTGGCTGTTGGCTTGGGTGCACACAGAGTGGAAGGGATACTTCATGTCGGTAGTCGGTAGTACCCCGAGCCGCGGACACAACGCAATGTTTGATTGTTATTTCATCGGTGGTACCGTCACATTTTGAATGATTTATCAATACGGATGATGAACGCTTCCCATTGACGAACTTGACCGACTAGTACGTGTTGGGTTTTTGTTTGTAGATTATACCCTATGTTTGGAAGTGTTTGTAGGAAACACTATCGCAAAAGTCGACCGCCGACTCATCAAGCGGGGGATGACCCCGCCTCGGGAGGCTCTGGCGCGTGGCTGGTTGCAGAAGGCTGCAGACCAAGGCAACGAGGAGGTGCAGACCGCGGCTTGATGGTAGCGCAAAATTCCATGAAGTTTGGTTCTCAACAAGTGGCAGAGATGGGCAGCCTGCAGTGAAAAGAACTTCTTTGCCGGTCCCATGAAGAAATGAGAGTCAGTTACAGCCTTCCGGAAGGAAAGCATGCCACGAAACATGTAACTTGTGTCCTAGCCTTTGGGTTTCCGTTCTCAGTGCAGTAATGACTAATGACCTTCAAAGGCATCAGACACTGGTAAGTGATGGAATTCATCACTGGCAAAGTCACAGGTACTTGTAGAAGTCCTGATGATTTTTCCTGAGCGCTGCCCGTGAACATGGTTTCATGCGGGATCACGGAGATACATCCGACCCCCATCACCAGCACCGCACGTACCTCGAGGTACATCTTGTACCACCAACTGAACTCATTGAACTCAGTGGCCGTCTCTATGACCAATTCCGAGCCTTGCGCATGGAATTTCACCAGCTCCAACAGGAAGACCCGCCACGCCGACTAAGTCCTCAGTTTTTCCGCGGAGTCCACTTCCATAGCAAATCGTTTTGGGCCTTAGACGCCAGTTTTTGAACGCCTGGGGCGTTTTTGATTTTGAGTTGAATTTGAATTTAATTGGAACTGAACGCGAAGCTTTGAATTTATTTTATATAACTGAGCTGGAGTTTGGTTTCTGACTTGAACGTTAAAATTGTTTTAACTCATCGGAATTGAATTCAATCGAGAACTGGCTCTCATCACCTGCGCTGGAAATTGAAGTGGAATCCATAGTATTTTGAAGTTGAATTAGATTTTGTTTCTCTTCTGGATTTTGGGAACGGTCCCAAAAATTGGGGACTTCTTCTTGGAGGCCTAACAATGATGTTTTTTTGGCGCCAACGTTTTAAGCTACCCCCTTGGCGAGTGTGTTGGGAAGCACTCTTGCAACACGATGCAGCAAAGAAAATGCGATTTCAAGACGTGGACATTATTAAGGGCAAATTCAGAAAAATCAGGAAGACACAAATTTAGGCAAAAAATGCAAAATGAACAAACAATACACCTGGAACGGGTTGACGTACTTTATTGTGGGCTGATTGACTGATCTGTCCGGGGATTGGAATGACTTTGTCATAACTTGATGTGGATAGTAATTCCGATCACATGACCCAAGGTCCATCTCATGCACTTCATGCGTCACTTGATGCATGCAAATTTGATGTTGGAAATTTTCACCGTGGCAATGTGTCTAAGATTGGTTGTCCAAAAATGGAGGCCACCAAAAATCACCGAGATTTTGTTTTAGACATTGCTAGAAACCTGTGGGTGGCCTATTGTCCAGCTTTACATGCACACGTGCGCATTTAATTTTTTCCATGGATGCCCCAACAGTGTCATCAATCGTTGCGTTGAAAGCCTGTCTTTCTTCGCAGGCATGCCTTACGCTCGCTTCCATGTATCGCAACGGGGAGGCTCGAGGATGTTGGGTTCGGCCACCGCCATATAGATGTGGGGCAATTTTGACATGATTAAACGATTTGGTCATGGCCATACCCGCCAAAACATCCCCGAACATACTATCCAAACATGCACTTAAAACAAAACCCTCAATGCTTCGATTTTGAAAATCCCATCGCCGCGCAGGGATCTCCAAGGGACCCAGTGGCTGCATTGAAGTGTTTTCAACAGGCGTTTGCTGACTTTGGGCCGCTGATTTGGGAATTTGACAACCAACTTTGGGGAATTGTGATTGAATCAATGACTATTGGGGATTGTGCAGTGCCCAACATGTGCAATAAACCAACAAAATGAAACCATACAGTCAGGGCATTAAGTCGCATCAATTTTGTTGTTTTCAGTGAACATAACTACCTGGTCCATTCCACACATTCAGGTCAGCTGTACACAAGCATGAACAGACCGCGCAATCCGTCGACCGCAGGGGCCCCTTGAGTTTGCTCAAAACCAAGTTTGGTAGCGGAGCCCTGAACAGGGCTCCCTGCCGTAGGCTTCGCTCACCGTTCGGGCGACGCCATACTGGTCCGGCTACTGCCTGGCTGGACCAGGCGCTGCGCTGTGGCGTGGCAGGTTGCTGCTGTGCGATCTTGGGGCAATCAGTGCTTGTGCTGCGCTGCCGCTCCGCTGCTGCTGCTGATTGGTGGGCCGAGCTGCGCTTGGTGGCCGTGGTGCACTTGCCCTACCTCCGGGACAAGACCTACGCTGGTGGTGGTGGCAATCAGTGCACGTGTTCGGCTGCTTTGCTACTTCCTGGACATCGTGAAGGGCCTCGGGCTCTAGCGCTACTTGATTGAGGAGATCGAGATTCTTGCCGGGTTCCAGGGTATCCTCTGCGATGGCTGTGCCTTCAGCTCCTAGTGGAGGAACCATCCCACTGACCGAATATCGCAGGGATGTGCCGCCGGGTTGGCAGCCCGGCGACAGCAGCTACAGCCTCCGTGCATACCTGGAGAAGCTGAGGATGTGGTATCGCATTAGCTCTCTTGAGGACGAGCTGGTGGGCCCGGTCATTGCTGGCCGTCTGTACGGCAGAGCACACAGAGTGGCAGTCAGCCTACGTGTGCCGAGGCCGGATGGAACCTACGACATAGGCGATGCCGCCTTGGTTCGACTACCCGTTGATGAAGTTCGGGACCCAGCCACGAACGAGCTGCTGCAGGAGCACATTCCTAGCGGAGTGCAATATCTGGTGAACGCACTTCGAGCTGCTTTCGGTCAGATGGATCAAGACCTGGCAACCTCGTCATTAGAGGCCTTCTTCGGCCTGACGCGGCATGGCAACAAGCTCAGCCTCAGCGAGTACTCCGTGGAGTTTGACAGCCGCTATGACGAGGCATCGGACAGAGCCGGTTTGCAGTTGAACGATGTCGGCAAGTTTTTCCTTTGGTTTCGAGGATCTGGACTTCCCTCGAAGACCATAGATGACATCAAGCTGCAAGTCAATGGGGACTCCACGAGGTTCAATGATGCTCGTGCCCTGGCTCTCAGGATCACTCCAAACAAGGAGAATCACCAAGACATCTTCTACGGCCAAGATGAGGACAGCTGGTGGCAGGATCCTGATGAGCACTACTACCAGTACTATGAGGACGACGAGAACTACTACGAGGACGACAGCTATGACTGGTGGTATGGATATGAGGAGGAAGCAGACGGTGAATGGACCTACGAGTATGAGGAGAACTATGACACCGATTGGAATGGCGATGGAGACGGATCGACATGGCCAGAACCTCCAACGACAGAAGCTGATGCAGGAGCAACTTCCAGCAATGCGGAGTTCAAGGAGGAGTACTACAAGGGCAAAGGCAAAGGTGGTCATGACGGGTGCTTCAACTGTGGAAGCAAGTGGCACATGGCTCGCGATTGTCCAATGGCCAAAGGTGGACAGAAAGGAGGTGGAAAACAAGGCCGTGGAACCTGGAGAGCAGTTTGGCGACCCAGGTCAAAAGGAAAAGGAAAAGGCAAGTTCCGAAAAGGATTTGGAAAAGGAAAAGGCAAGAAAGGCAAGGGCAAGAACCATTGGTTTTCTGGATCAGCCAACAAGGAGTCTGCGGGGAACATGAATTTGGACTTCCGTGAAGGTGTGCCAGATCATACTACATCCATGACTATGCCGTCACAACGGATGCTGTTCAGGAACAACACGAGCAAGACTGGTGGAAGGATTCCCGAGAAGCACATCATTCACACGTCTTCCGAGGAGGACGACTTCATGTCCATGCGCAGACCCTTGGCTTCCACGACAAGTTCCACAACAGCTGCAACTGAGGTCAATCAAGAGGAGGAAACATCCAAGCCATCGAAGCAGCACTCTTTCAACTTTCCGACGTTCCACAACAGCATTGTGGACGGCCAGTACTTTGCAGTCAGAGGTGAGAAGAGGTATGGACTTCTGATTGACCCAGGAGCTGCTTCAGGATTGGTTGGATCGGACACGCTTTTGCAGCTGATGGACAACTGCGTGAAGCCTGCCGTGAAGCAAGATGAGATGATCATCGACCACGGCAAGACTGTGCCGGTGTCTGGAATCAGTGGAGTCTCCGAGAACACCCTTGGGCAGGTGACGCTTCCATTGGTCCAATTGGTTAGTGGAGGACAATCCATTACCTACACAGCAGATGTCCTGGGAGGAGATGGTTCATTTTGCCCTGCGTTGGTAGGCAATCCAGCACTTCGGGAGATGAACGCGGTGATGTTCTGCAACTGGTTCAACAATGGAGATGGCCTGATACTGGTCGGATCACAACAGGACGATGCCATGCACCATCGTATGTTCAGGCTGCTTCTGACCGACAGCGGACACTACATGTTGCCCACTGATCACGACCACACAGCCAAGGTTGCAGGACAAACCAAAAGAGAAGCAGTTCTTTTCTGTGCTCGAGCCGCGTCGCGAAGTGCAGAGATTTGGCCTGATGTCAATCCTCAGGTTCACCATTGCTTCCTGTCGAACGTGGGCAAGCAGGCAGCAGGTGACCGGAGTGAACAACATTTACATCAACAACATGACAATGATCCTTCTCCACATCAACAACACGACAATGATCCTTCTCCACATCAACAACTTGAAAATGACAACTTACAACATCAACAACATGACAATGATCCTTCTCTACGTCAACACCCAGAACACAATGAAGACAAGAACAGGAACTTCTTGAAGCCAAAGAAGAAGGTTCGTTTTGTTGAGAACGTTGGTCCTGGAGGAGAAGTTCAACCAGTAGATCAAGTTCAACCAGTAGATCCTTCCGGACAACACCAACAACTACCAGGCGGTGTCGAGGGCAACATCAAGGAGCCAACTTTTGTTCCTGCCGTTTCGGCAGACCATGCGGAAGCAGTTTCACATCATGCCATTTTGGCCACAGAGGAGATGAAGGTTTCCTCGCACGACACCAACAAGCACGACGTTTTGGAATTCAAGTATGAGACCCCTGCGGAAGATTTTGTTCCACATGATGGTGGTGAGGCCATTTTGGCCAACTGGTCCTCGACTCCTTACATCGAGGACACTTTCCCACCAACAGCTGACAAGGCGAAATTGAACCGCCGATACAAAGCCATTCCAGAGGAGTACTACACCAAGACTGGTCTTCATCCTGTGACGCCTCAGAACTTCAATATATGGTTTGCCAAAGCCAAAGGACGTGGACTCCGTTGGCATGCTTGGGAGATTTGCTCTGGAAGTGGCAGACTTTCACTGGTGCTGTTGTTGGCTGGATTGGTCATTGGATTTCCAGTTGACTATCGCTATGGCTGGGACATTGGAGATCGAGCACATCAACAAATGCTTCTTAAAGCACCACGAGAATTTCAACCTGGCTACATCCACTGCTCGCTTGATTGTGCTCCCTGGTCTCAGGCTGGAAATACCAAAGATCCAAAAGAACGACAGCAAGAACGCATTCAGGCAAGACCATCATTGGAGTTCACCATGGACGTCTTCAACAACCAGGCTCGTCATCACCGAGGCTATGGACTTGAACAGCCTTGGGGCAGTGCCATGTGGAATCCTGGGACGATCAATCCTTTGGACTTGGATCAGATCCCCGGGAACAAGAAGAAATAGAGAGTGGACCAATGCATGCATGGCGCTGTGGACGAGCTCAACAACCCAACACAGAAAGCCACTGGACTTGGAGGCAATGTGAAATGGAACCGCACTGCCATTCGATGTAGTGGTCATGGAGGACAAGGACATGGGCATCTACAAGGAGCTGCACCTGGTGGAATCAATCGCACTGCTGCTGCCGCAGTATATCCTCGAGCGATGTGCCAGAAGATGAGATGCGACATTGTGCAGTTTCTACATCAACGAGGTTTGATGAAGATTCCTACATGGCCCAAGGACCTGACCTATCACACCCTCTCCAACTACTACGAGTGCATCAGGTGTCAACTTGGACGAGCATGCCCAAAAGACATTCCTCACACGATGATCCCAAAACAATGTCGACATGGCAAGTGGGCACCGGGAACTGCAGACCCCAAATCCAGAGCAATGCCAAGTGACCCTGTGAAGGAATGGGAAAAGCGAGCCAATGAGGAAATCCTTCCTGCCATCACTCTTGAAGACCGCATGGTGCCACCACTCACAACTCATCAACTGCATCATCTCAAGAGATTGCTTCTGGAAGTTGTGAATTCTACTCTGGGAGTCTTCAATGAAGCGGTTGGCATGCTGGACTACAAACTCTGGCTCGAGAACCCCGTGCAGATGCTCTTGTTCAAGCACATCTTCAAGGAACACTTCATGGTGAGAGGAGTACTTCTGGAATTACGACCGTTTTGCCGATCCAATGCTGAGCCGCAACTGACCTTCCAGACAGCGTACCTGAGATTGGCCATTGAGGGACAAGTCAAAGAATGGACAGTTGGTCCACTGCTTGACATGCGGGAGATGAGTCACAACCAGATCCACGAGGCCATCGAGGAGGACAACTGGATGGTGACGCTTTATGGCCATGAACCAGAAACCACACCATCACCTTCCACTCCATCATCGAGGCCGAGAAGCATCCCCGCACAACCTGCTCTACCTCCTCGACAAGATGATCAACTTGGAGAAGCTCAGATTATGGATCGACCAGCGGCTGATGGAGATGGCGAAGTTGTGGAGGCGCCATATGAAGCTGCAGAAGAGTTTGAGGTGGCGCCGAGGGCAGAGA